CTGCTGAACTTTGGGAAAAAAACGACCAGACCAAATAAATGTAGGAACTTGCAAGATGTCCAATTGAAAATTGACAAATCAGATTGAATTTGAAGATAACAAAATTTAAACAAATTCAAAAGGAAAAATGCAAACCAACAAACTGACAAGAAAAGGCCATAAATATTATGCATTTTACAGCGAAATAATACATTCTTTTAAGAGGTTTCCAAATCAAACACAGAATCAATATAAAGTTACAAAGTATAAAAATGGAGGGAAAAACATATCAAACAAACAAATAAGATCCCATGAAAAACCAAAATTAAAGTGAAAATTTAAACAGTACTTAGCAGCTATATTTGAAACACAAATTGGAGTACAAAAAGATTAAAACTCTAATAATTAATCATGTTAGTAAACCAAAGTTTCAGAAGATGATCAAATATTTTACTGTTATCTTCATTTTCTTGCCTTTTCTTTGGTGCAGTATGCACATTTTAACACCTCTTACGGTCTCATAGATTATTAGTGGAAAGGATTGTTTAAGGAGAAATCATATTAGAATTAAAAAAAAATGAAGGACACAGAGTACTCAATTACCTCTATAATCAAACAAGCTGATAAGATGTCATTTTTTTTTCTTTGTACCAAATCCTACTTTTTAGCTGAAAATGACAAATTATTCAGCTTTTGAAAATATTTCCCTACTCTAATCACTAGCGAAATGCAATCAGTCTATCAGATTCGCATAAATTACAGTTATTACTGAAAGCCACTTAACTGAAAACGCACATTCACAGATTCACAACATCATTTTAAACTTAAAACCCTAAAATGAATATAAACTATGACCTCCCTTGACAGATCAACAATCTTAGCACACATTAAGTAATTTAATTACTTGAAACAAATATAAGAGATTATCTAAAATAAAAATTATGCTAGCAAGTTAAACCAATTCAAATCAGCCAGTGCTGTATACCTGGCCTGTCAATATCTATAAATAAATAAATAAATAACGGTAAGGAAAAAACATAATTGGAATATTTCACCTCACTGCAAACTCACTGATTCTCTCTATCTTTCAAAACACAAACCTATTTGCTTCAAGTAAAAATAATCCACCAAAAGGAACACACCCCCACAACACAACATCATCTTGCCTGATCTAAACAAACCATCCAATTCTTACAGAAACAAACAAACACAAAGTAGAATGCTCTTAGCAACTACACAACACAAATACATGTCCTGAACTACAGGATCCATGCCTAAACCTCAAAAATCTAAAGCTGAAACCCATTTGTGCAACAACCTCAAACAAAACGGAACTCAATCAATACACGCACCCCACCTCAGAATGCTAGCACCCAAAATCTGCAAATAAGATTTTTCCGTTCTTACAGCTAGAACACTATTCGAAATCGAAAAACAAACACGGACACCTTTGAGGGCAAGATCAAAAAGGAAACTTTAACCGGATCCGAAAAAAAGTAAAAGCATACAACGATACCCATTTGGAGGAAAAATAATAATATATTTTAAAAATATTAAAAATAAATGAATCGCATTAAGAAATAGCATAATAGAATAGCGGAAGGGACGGTTGGAATTTGAAAGGAGAATGAATGATAAAGTAATGGGAGACTGGAAAATGAAAGGGCGAAGGTGGCTGAAAAGAGAACTGACCTGAGAAAAAAGAGAGAGGGAAATGGGAAAGGAAAAACTTCTCCTAAACACATGGAATCATTGTTGAAATATAAAGCGAGTTCGTATATTTTTCTTTGTTCCAAACACTGCTTCTCTCTCTCCCTCTCTCTCTCCCTCTCCAACACGTTTATATTTTTTAATTCTTTTTTTTTTCACAATTTGGACACAATATCAAGTGATAGTTGAAATTACACACTTCTAAGATCTAAGAATCATACAATATAATATAAATAATCACATTATGTTATTACATTTGTATATTATTATATTTGTTTAAATATCTAATTTATCATGATTAAAAATCTAATTTATAACAATAAATTTATTTTATTTTATATTTTTTTTAAAACTACTCTTATATGAAGTATTATTTTTTTTCTCTCCAATAAATAATACTGTTTACTCTTAAAATTTATGTTTTTCTAAAAAGTCTATGATTAATGTATTTTATCACATTAAGAGAACATATTTTCACTAAGATATTTTAGTTTCAATAATTAATACATTAAATACTATGAAATGAGTATTAGGAGTGTATTGAATTAGGATGTCAATAGATTTTAAAAGATTTTTTTTATTCTAAATTTTTGTTTGGTATTCAATTAAGATAATTGTATTTTTTTTATGAATACATTAAAATCTAGTGGTATTCAATTAAGATAATCGTATTTTTTAGGAATCCGTAAAAATCTGGTGATATTCAATTAAGACTTTTTTTCGCTTTAAAAAAGTCTTTTGATACTCAAAAATATAAAAATTTTAATAAATTATTTTGAATAATGAATTTTGTGAGACTTTTAAGTAGAATTTACATGTAGTTTTGGTATTTTTAAATCATATTTCATAATTTTTAAGTTAGTATCTTCATTTTACTTAAGACACAAGTTAAATTTGTATGAGCATGTGTAACACTACATAACTTTTTTCGCAAAGAATGTCGTTCTAATAAATTTCTAATTAAATCAGTAAAAACCATAATTTTGGACATATTATTCAAACTCAAAAGCATGAAAGAAAATATGTTAATGCATTAAGGGATAGTGTAGTTTTAGATATGTGAAAAGGTGTTAGTTAAGATGGCATTAGTGACAATTATTTATCAAAAGAAAGACAGTTTATTTGTCAAAAGATGAAAAAAAAATGTACTAGTTTTACTTTTCTTTATTATCTATATTAATTTATTTAATTATTGTAGCATTAAATGTGTTTTACAATTTCATATTTTCTAACAAAATCCTTTAAGATTATGATATAAATTCATCAAAATTCATTAAATTCTAAATTATAAAATCTTGATTAAAATTCATGTTTTAAAAATCTTATAAAAAAAAACTTAAAAGTTATGATATTCTTTCAAAGTCTTTTAAAATCCATTAAAATTTACAAGACTTTTTCATGTTAAAATAGTTTTTCAAAATCACAATCCAATGCACCCCCTTATATAAAAGATGTTCTAAGTTAGGTGTTATAAATAGGAATGGAGGTAGGGATGACAACAAGACAGGGCAAATACAAGTTTTACTATTCCAATCCAATCTTTGTTCCTATACTTATCTTCGTATCCAACGGATATAAAATTTGTATCTTTATATTCATTCTCGTCAAGTATTGAATATACCTAACTTGTCTCGTACTCGCTTAAAAATTAATTAAACATTTAAAAATAAAAATAAAAATTTAATATAGATTTGTAATTATAAAATTATATTAATTAAGTTTCAATTGATATAAATTTAACATAGAATAAGAATTACATAAATAATAAGTAATTTTTCAAAGAAAATTAAGTTTTAAAAAATCTAAAACGAGTACGGGAAGGGTAAGCATATACTCATCTCGTCCCCATATCTATTTTAATAAATTAGATATCATTCATACCTGTATCTGGTCAAATCATATATTTATCATCAAAGTCAAGTTCAAGTATTATTGATGGGAGTGAATTTACTAGTCATCCCTAAATGGTGGTGATATAATTCCTAGATGCATAATTCACTAAGATTAAAAAAAATAATTAATATAGTTAAAAATAATAAAATTGACCTATTTTTATAGTTTTTTCCAAAAAAAAACTTGTACTATTTTTTCTCTCCTAGTTAATATTTTCCTTTCTATTAACTTGTGTCATATATTATTTGCCTCTTCTAATTAATATTATTATCTATTTTAATCGACTAGAGTCTATGTCTTTTAAACAGTCTATAATTAATATATTTTACCAAATTAAGATAACATGTTTTAATTATAGACATTTTAGTTTAAAAATAATTAACACACCAAGTAATATAAATTGAGTATTATATAAAGAAAAAAATAATTATTCAAAGTTTAATCTTATAAATAGTAATGAAGGTAATAACAAATTTTATTGAGTCAATAAAACAAAATCATGATTTGTCAATTTTATCCTTTTGTACATATTATTAAATTATTATGTGAAAAGTGAAAATTTTACTCTATATAAATACTTATACACTAATATCAATAAAAATGCTAAATAACAATCGGATAAACTAGAAAATAATAGAAAAATATATACTCTCACAATCTTTAACAAGAAAAAAATATAAAATAAAATTAATATTTTATAGAAATGATAAAGTGTCTCAGAAAAAAGATAAATAATTTCTTTTAAATTATGAGTTATAATAATAACAAGGAAGTCTATTATATTGGATCTCAATGGGTATGGTCTCTCTTTTTCCATTGTTAGGGATGGTATGGTATGTTTAGTATTGTGGATGGAAGATGAGAGAAGTTTAAATGTTTTTCTTTTCTTTTCATTTTTTATTTTATTTTTCTTCAATCCAATATACAAGTAAGTTTTTTTTTTTGGGTTACATAAAAATTTAGGCGAATTGAATTTGGAGACTCATCAGGATTATAACAAGCTTTAAGCTCTATAAACGTTTATAAATATACTTAGATCAAGTGAGTTTATTTAAGAGAGAAAATCTCTCTTATTACCAAATTTAAACTCAACTTAAAAAAAATCAAAGTTTTCACCATTTAAATTGTGTGGATAAAGAATGATTTAAAATATTATGAATATTTTGGTGATTTATTATATATGAGTGATTTTTAACATAATTTATTATTACATAACTTCTTTTTAATTAACATATTTATGAATAAATAATTTTATTGTAAAAATATTACATAAAATTTTTATTATTTAATATTTTAACAGATAAATGTTATTTCTTAAAAAAAATATTATATCACTCCTTTTCTATAAGAAAAAAAACATTATAGTTGGAGTGTAAAGTCTAAAGAGAAAAATGATAATTTGTTGTTATATATTTAGTTTCAGAATTATATTAAAAGTAATAATCATTTAATAATTACATTATTAATAGCATTTTTAATTTCACAGTGTTTTTAATTTTTTTATTTGCATCATACATAATATTGTTTGAGTTTGAAATATTAGATTATTTTTTTATGATTAAATAAACAGAAAACAAAAGAAAAATTACAGCCTAGGAAACAAAGTTCCCATAGTATTTGCCGTTACAAGAGGAAGGGCATATGCTGGACATAGTCAAAGAGGAAAAAAAAATAACATGATTTATTGTAGAAATAGATTTTTCAATGAATTTTTTCATCATATTTCATTTTTTTTCTTCATAAACATGATTTACATTGTATTTCAAAACTAACAATTAATGATTAATTTATGTTCACAAAATGTAAATTTAGATAGTTAAATATTATTTTTAACATAGATGAGAGACGAACTTATTATAATTTGTAAAAATATTTTTATTTTGAATAATCTTTCTTTTAATTTTGCTTGTTTTATGTTATTTAAAAAGGAAAAAAAGCACTTTGTACCTAGACTATCCAAAAAAAATTAATAATTATTTTCATGAGTAATTATTGTAGTTTCAAAAGACAAAAAAAAATGGAGAACTATTTATAAGAAAAGGTAATTTTAAGAAATTATTTAAAAAAAATAAGAGAGAAAATTATTTATGTAAAAATAAAAATTAAAAGTAGTTATGATAAAAAGTATTTTTATATAATCGTATAGATAGATGATTTTATATAATAATAGATGAAGTTAATGTTTTTTTCAACCACTCCATTAAAACAAGACCATCAAAAATTAGTAAGAACTATTTATAAGAAAAGGTAATTTTAAGAAATTATTTAAAAAAATAAGAGAGAAAATGATTTATGTAAAAATAAAAATTAAAAGTAGTTATGATAAAAAGTATTTTTATACGATCGTATAGATAGATGATTTTATATAATAGTAGATGAAGTTAATGTGTTTTTCAACCACTCCATTAACTAAAACAAGACCATCAAAAATTAGTAAGCTACTATCGATTTTTCTGCACTAAATTTTTTTATTTAAAAAAACAAAATAAAAAACACAAAAACGATGGAAAAGTGAGATAAATCACAAAGAGCCAATTGTAGCATAACATTTAGAAGTTACCAGACAACTTGGTATGACTGTCTCCATAGATGATATAACATGCTCTAAAAAACAATTTATATAAATAAAAACTTTATACATGTGTTATCATAGAAAAAAAAAAAAAACTTTACTTCTGGACATGCTAATTAATATAAATAAATTACAGATGAATAGTTGTATTCTGTATGGATTGTGTTTAATTTTTTTAAAAAAACTACATTTTAGTAAATTGTTATTATAAATTATTGTGAATATAAAACAAGTGTATGTTTGAATTAATTTATTTTGAAAAATTATAATTTCAAAAGATTTTGATAATATTTGAAAATATAATTTAAATTATATCAATGACATGTGCACATTTAGTTTGATTTATATTTAATAACTTAATTAATGTAAATTTTAAAGAATAATTATTCTCAATATTATTTTGTAACAAGTTTATTTCAAATTATAAATGGCAAAGTCTCACCTCGGCCTCATTCAAAATTCAGAAATCACTTAAAAACTCATAGTAATTAATCCATTTAAAAAATCCTTACTTAAAGTTTAAAATAAACTTTTAAATATAAATGAATATAACACAATCAAACATTAATTTGTTGAATTGTGATTTTAAGTCCGTGAATAAAAAAAATATTATTTTAAACCAATTTTATTTATAGTATTTTAATAACTTTAA